TTGACGTCGACGCAGCGGCTTCGGCGTTATGTCAATCCCAAGTCTCCAACTGCTGCAGGTCATCGTCACCGTTCGCCGGCGCCGCATCCGCCTCAGCCGTAGGCTTGTCCACTTCCCGGGGAGGAGGAACACGAGGCTGTCAGTGCACGTTTTCGTTCGAGTTCTCTTCAAGCGACCGTGTCCGATGGAGGGAAACCCCGCTCTGGTAAATCTCGCCGCCGGACTCGGCGGAAAAAGGTTCGTCACCTTCAGTTGAGCTCTGCTACACAGGCAGCTGTCTATGCTCACTCTGAAGACGATGATGAAGCTTCGAGCGAAGCTGAATACGAGTTTGAGATGTCTGAGCCTGCCGACGACTCCTTGCGTCTAATTCGACGACTCTGATAGGTTCTTCGTCTTCTGGTCCTCTGTCGACGTCGTCCGTCGTGGCTACTCAGCCATCGTCAGTGTCATATTCCGATGTCGTGGCCTCACTGCCTATCCCGGCTACGAGTGTTTGTGCTCCAGACTCGACCTCACCTAGCTCGGCTGAGTTGCCCCATTCCAGCGTGCCGTTCAGCGTCGCATCAACGGAGGTTGGGCCCTTCAAGTCGTCATCTGGTCCTCGATCTTCTCACGTATCTCCCTCTCGAGGCATTAGCGTATCCACTACACCGACCGACCTCGTGACTCCGGCCGTGAGTATCCTCAGACCATCTCTCCCTGCGAGCTTGGCTGTGTTGACGTCCCCGTCTGGGCGCCCCGTCCGGAGATCTGCTGCGACTGCTCGTACTGTGACTGCTCAGCTGCTTGAGGGCCTTGACGCGTCTGACGACGAGGTCTTAGGGCCTGGCGACGGTTCTGCACCGTCCGCCAGCTCGACGAATCTTGCCGCTGGGTCGCTAACGGACTTCATCTCTTTATCGGAGAACTCGTCGGATAGCCCTTCAGGCTCCGACTCGGCGGCCGAAGATGCCTGTCGTTCTGCCTAGGCGAAAAGCCTTCATGCGGCCATCTTCGGTTCTGACGATGAGATGAGTGATGAGTCTTTACAGCCGAGTGATCGCCACTCTTCGCAGCATTCATTGATGGATTCTGATGACGGAACGACGCCTTCTACCTCTGCGTCGACTTCGGGGAAACAGCAACGTCGCAAGCGTCGCGCCTCGTCGAGTCCCACTGGTCACCGATCAAAAGAGATCTAAGAAACACAAGAAGCACCGACACCACAAGCATCGGTAGCCTGCGTCAACCCCTGACATGGCTCCTGCCCCATCTCTGTCGGATGCTCCTTCGCCGAGTGTGCCCCCGGAAGCGTCTGTTCCACCCCAGCCGAGTTTGACGGTGTCACGACCGGCTTCGGTCACTCTTCCAAGCGCTCTTATGCTCCCGTTGCCGACGCTACGGACCCGGGCTTCGCAAGCAGACTCCAAGGACTGCCGTTTGACCCTTCATATGGCCTAAATCCGCGAGGTGCCATTTATGCATTTCGTCTCGACTCGTTGTTGGAATGCACTACTGGACGCACTGACCGGCGGAGTGCAGCTGGAGCTCGTAGGTGGCAAGAGTCGTGTGCCGCCCACGCCGTGTTCCCTTGACGGCATACGAGCTTTCATGGCTGTCTTCGATCCGAGTCATCCTTGTCAGCGTCTCCGGCGGATGCTTCCCGAGCTTCCTTTCTTCTTTTCTCCGTCAGTGCTGGAGGAGGCTCGGCGGTGCTTGGCCTCTCAGACCCGACCTCGAACCTTGATGCAAGTTCTTGGAGATATGTGGGTGAAGCTGCGTGGCGACAGTCCTTCGGACTTGGCGGGGAGGCCTATCAAGACGGATGACCAAATGACTCGTTACTTTGTTGCTCTCTACGAGCGTCGCCACTGGATCGTCGAGTCAAGTGTGTTGATAGGCCACCATCCCGACCTCAACCCGACGGCCACGCCTGCTTAGCTTGCTGAAGTGTATGAGCTGTGGCTGGTGTACAAGCTCGAGCGCAAACGCCGTAGGGACACCCTACGATCCTTGGTTGTCGCCGTCTACGACCAGCTCTACTCGGCGGTCACCCAGAAACTCGGCGGCGAACCTGCTCCTCTCGTGGATGCTGAAGTATATTTCGACCCGTCCGTTCCCCATTATTCTCCTGTTAACCTTTCGTGGGTCCCAGCCGGAAGGGACTAGATTCAGCGCGCTCACGATGTGGATCTAGCCGAGCCCTGGCGAGCTTAGTGGCTAACCGACCCGGCGGTTCACCCGTATAATACGTGTTATCGCGCTCGGAACGTGGACCTCCTGGATTTCGCTCCGCGCGGTATGGACCCCCATGTTGTTGACGACGCGATCGAAGAAGATTTCGACCTTGCCGGACAAGCGTGTCCTGCTTACGCTCAAGGTGCTCCACCTCGGTTGAATCGTCAAGGTATTCACATTTTCGCTGGGTCTTCTATCGGTGAGCTCGGCTCGGATAGCGAAAGTGCATCCAATGACGACTCGGTGGACGATGGGTTGGGTTCTCCCAACCTCCGAGGCGCGTCTCCGAGTATGTCTCTGTTCGGCACTCCACTTCCAAGTGGAACGGATCCGCTTCACCCTACGCCAGCTGAGCTGGGGCCTGAGGCACAGGTTCTTCTTCCGCCTACTTCGGCGTCAGTTTCCTTGGCTAGCTCGGCGATGACACATTTTGCCACGGCTGCGGATGTTGCATCTCCTCCAGCAGTCTTTCAGAGAGGGACGTCTGCTACGCCGCAACGCCTCTAATCGTCGAGTCCGTTGAGCTCTCCCTAATTGTCTCGGTCGGGCTCACCTCTCTTGGAGTCCGGATCGCCTTCTTTTTAATTTTCTTCTTACGACTGAGCGTCCCCGTAGGTATCGTTCAGAACTTCATTTCGTCATTATTCAGAAAAATGTAATTTCGACACAGTAGCATTCCATCTCAACTCGGCCCTGTGTCGTCCGCCGAGTTGGTGTAACATTTGGTGCAATAACTGTTAATCCTCATCTGTAACTTGCACCATTTGCAGACGGTTTTCACGCTTCTTCTGTCGTAGATAGTCAAACCGGAGACCTCCACATGACAAATTATGAAGAAGTACGGTGCGGTCATGGACGTCGAGAACAGTGAGTTACGCTATCGAGATAGAGAGCAATCCGTGATCATCCCGTTCAGGACCTAATGACGATGTCGGTGGAGCACGCGTGGCAATCGTACGAATGGCACGAAAGACGCAGATCGAAAATAGTTCAGTAGCGCCGGTGGACGTGGCGGTGTCTGCAAAAGACGGTGAGCAGGGCATCTTCATTCCGACGGTGTACGCAGGATCGGTGTTGTTGGCAGCAACAGTAACGACGGTGTGCAGTGGACGTGCATGGGTTCCCGCTGTTAATACGAATACGAAGCCAACGAGGCTGCCGAACAAGAAGCAGCTGGGCACGTGGATACCCATCAGTAGCGAGATGACAATACTAGCAATAGACGGTGCACTGGATGCGAAGAAGATGAGTGTGTGGCTCGACGAGATGGGAGACACGGATACACCTTTGAATGATGAAAGCCAAGTGAGCTGTGGATCCAAGGAACCAGCAGCGCGAGAGCTAATCATGAAGTTACTACGTGCATATCGTCAATTAACGAAAGATACAGGTGACTGTCCACCTACAACTGCATTAGAGATGTACCATCACATTGACACGGGGGACTCTGCACCGATAATGCTGAAGAGAAGGCGTCAGGCGCAAACAGAAGACGCGGTTGTAGAGATAAACGTGGACAAAATGCTGGGATCAGGTGTTATTGAAGAAGGAAACGGTGCTTGGGGGTTTCCAGTGGTGCTCGTCCGGAAGAAAGATGGCGAAGTGAGGTTCTGTGTGGATTACCGGGCTCTCAGTAGGGTCACTAAGAAAGACGTGTACCCTCTTCCAAGAATCGACGAAACGTTAGAAGCTTTGAGTGGTGCGCCACTCTTCACTACTCTTGACCTGCGAACTGGGTACTGGCAGATCTTAGCTGCGCCGGAGGATCGTGACAAAACCGCCTTCGCGACTAAGAGCGGACTGTATAGGTTTCTTCGTATGCCATGTGGCTTAACGAATGCTCCTTCAACCTTTGAGCGAATGATGAGCGGTGTTCTGCGTGGGTTGACGTGGCTAACATGTTTAGTTTACTTGGACGACATAGTGGTTTCACACGTGGAGAGGGATAGAGCAACATGTGCTGGAGTTGGCATGTGTCTTCGAGCGATTGTCAGCTGCGGGATTGACGCTCAAACTCAAGAAGTGCAAGTTTGCGACCAAAACGATGGAATATTTGGGCCATCAATGGAGTTGTGACGGGGTACGACCATTACAGAGGCTAGTGACGGCTGTACAAGAGTTTCCTACACCTACAGATACAGTGGAGGCGAAGCGATTTGTCCACTTAGCGGGGTGTTACAGGAGGTTTATGCAAGGGTTTGAGACTCTTATGGCCCCAATCACTAAGTTGTTGAGGAAGAATGCGGAATAAGAATGGAGTGACGCACAAGAATCAGCGTTCGGGAGAATTAAGGAGATGCTTACGACAAGACCCTTGCTCCTATATCCTGACTTCAGTCAACCATTCAGGGTAACAACAGATGCAAGCCAAACAGGACTTGGCGCGTGTCTTATGCAAGACCGAGGAGACGGCTGGCAGCTGGTTGCGTATGCAAGCAAGGTGAACAATGTAGCGGAAAGCAAGTATGGTATCACGGAACTGGAGTGCTTAGCGGTAGTATGGGCGATAAAACTGTTCCGACCTTATCTCTACGGAAGACGGTTCACAATTATCACAGATCATTCAACTTTGAAATGGCTGATGACCAGTCCAAATCTGACCGGCAAGCTACATCGTTGGGCACTCATTCTACAAGAATTCGACTTTGAAGTTCAGTACCGACCTGGCAGCACGAATGTGGTGGCTGATGCGCTTTCGAGAGCGCCTGTGGCTGAAAGGGTATTAGCGGTCGTAGGAAGAAGACGACGATCGCGGCGACGTGCAGAGGCACACATGACAGATGCGGCAAGGCATCGACCAGTCAGAGCAGCAGAGGAAGTTCAAGCAGATGAAACGCCGTCAGAATCAGCAGGGGCGACAGATACTACAACGATCCCAAATATCGTGTCCTTACCAGTTGGGGAAAAAGAAGAAGGATAAGACAAACAATGGCGACGGCGGGAACGACGAAGCCGAAGTGACGCCCTCAGCATACGGCAACACGAAGAAAGCGGCAAACGTGAGCCAAGTCGCTACGAAGACGAGCATTGTGGTGTCAGGAGCTGATGTTGACAAGAAGAACGGAACGAGCAGCGTAAGGCGACTTACGGTGCTAGTATGATGACTACGGGCGGTACGTCGATACGAGCGATACCGACTGTCGTGCCGCAGAGTACAGAGACGAATACTATGGGGCCAATGACCCGTGCAGCAGCACGACGAGCTGAGGAAGCTAGGCGCCAAAGTGATGCGAATAATGTGGCGGGCGCCGTGGAAGCGAGAGACACGATGGGTATTGCGCAGGACGTGACAGTAGACGAAGCGCGACGAGTTACAGTGAGGGCCACTGATAAAGAAGTCAACAATGGTGACAGTGAAACTACGGGAACCGAAATCAATGGTGATGCTGCACAGGAGTTACCAGTAACAGGAGCAGTGAGTGAACCGATAGCTGTAAGGACGCGAAGGAGAGGGCTAGCGGAAGAACGGGGAGTTGCGGACAGCAGTGAACGACCGGTACGCGAATCACCATTAAATACCAGGAAGACCGAGGAGAAGACGACAACATTATCTGCTAGAGACGGGAAAAGAAGAAGAGAAGTGGTGCAACAAACAGGTTCCATGCTTGGTGGTAACGGGAAGTAGACAGTCGCAGCAAAACCTGTAGAAACAACGAGCGAAGAGCGAAGGATAAAGTTACGAAGTACAAGTACGCGGAAGACTACGGGCGCGCAGACACTGCAGCTACCCGATACGGAGATCATGGAGTCGCAGAAAAAAAGCAAACTGATCCGAAGACTGTTGAATACTGGTGAGCATCGCGGCATGAAGGTGGAGACAAGGTTCGGATTGGTAGTGATCAACACAGCGAGGGGTCGACGTGTAATCATGCCTCCAGACCTCTGGGCAATTGTATTTAAGGAGAGGCACGACTCAGTATGGGCTGGGCATCTTAGGGCAACACATGCGTACGCAAGAATTGCAGAGGTGTATTGGTGGCCTGACTTAATGCGAGAGGTGCAATAATGGGTGAGAAGCTGTCAAGAATGCGGCAGTAGGAAATCACGACCAAGTGAGGTAATACCGCCTCTCAGAAGTATCATCGGAGGTGATGTTGGAGATCGATAGGCGCTAGATGTAGCAGGTCCACTACCCACGACTGACGGAGGGCACCGTTATGTCATAGCTGCAGTCGAGTATGTTACGCGGTACGCAGTGGCAGCTACAGTAAAGCAACACACGGCAGAGAATGTGGCCAAGTTTATTATGCAGCAAGTAGTACTCAAGTTTGGACCATTTCGTGAGCTGTTGACAGATGGAGCTCCAGAGCTAGCAGGCTTGGCGATTGAGCAGTTGATAGAACTTCTACAAGCGCAACAGATCAACCCAGTGCCGTACAGACCGCAGATGATTGGATTAGTTGAGAGATTTCATCGCACGTGGAAAGACGGAGTCGCTACGTACCTGAACAGTGAAGACCAACGTGACTGGGACACCTGGGTCGACTTCATGACGTACGCGTATAACGCTGCACAACACACGACAGTCAAACTGCCACCGAACGAGTTAATTATGGGTAGAAGACTTCGCAGTCCGAACGAATTACTAAGCAGCACGGACGTAGGGGAAGCAGGAGAGCTTACAGAGTACCACAGAAAGTTGTTGGCAGCGATGAAACACGGTAGTGAGTGTGCTGAGCGGGCAAGAACGAAGGAGCAACAACGGCAGGCAAAATACTACAATAGGAAAACTCGAACGAAACGGACGATAAAACCAGGAGACCGGGTTTGGATGTTTCGGCCTCCAAGAGGACCAAAGGCGTCTAAATTGGTACACCAATGGATAGGGCCAATGAGAGTTATTGAGTCGGCGGGATACGACAATTTCCTGATCGAAAGAGAAGACACAGCGGAGGAAAAAGAGCGGTACATTGCTCACGTATCGTTCCTAGTGACCTATCACTTTCCTACAACATTACTTAGACGAGTGGCTGAGGATATTGAAGACCAACTAGCAGACGAGGATGACGAGAAGCAAGGGGGAGATGCAGCGGCGGCAGCGAAAGCTGTACGAGCAGCGCCAGCATCTGGACAAGCAGGCGTTGCAGTATCAAGTAAGAAAAGAGACCGAAGCGCAGTGGATGACGAAGCGCCAGAAGAGCAGTCGAGTGGAGTCTTGGTGGAGTTACGACGTAGAAGGAGAAGGAACAGAGCTGGACAGTACGTCCTTGAGTACGAGTTGCGACCAGCACGATCGGCAGATGGGCTTAATGAACGACGAGAAGTTGATGCTGGACCAAGATGGGTATCCCTACAGCGGTACGAAGAGTTGCTTAGCCGCAACAGAGTCGCGGAAGACTCTGTGGTTGGGGAAGACGTGTAATAGGGTATTAACGGTGATTACCGAGGAGTCAAGCAGTAGAGAGCACGTGGGAGGTGTTAAGTACGTCAGTGAAGTGAGCGGTTACATGGCGTTAGTTGGTGTGGCGAGCAGAGACCGCACAAATGCGATCTTGTATCCAGAAGCGACGCGTGGGAGTTGCGAGCCAATCAGGAGTGACCAAAGATCGCAATAGGATCCCGACGTGCAGAGGAAAAGCGACGTGGAGACGGAGAGCGATGGGACTTCGAGATTTGCGTCGGAGAGCAGTACCAGATTGAATCTTACTTCGAGATTTGCGCAGTCGGCACAGAGGCGAAGTAACTGCAAGTACGGAGAAGTGCGAGGTAGTGAGTGGGGTGCACGAAGCGGTCAGAGGACCAACAAGAGAAGAGAGAAGGAGAAGAGAGAGAAGAGGTGCGACTGGACGGACGATCAGTGGTCAGTGCATTGGTGGACGCGTGGGGCAACGACAGCGACGGGCGACGAGACCAGGAGGAGATGACCCTCCGGGTTACTGTGTGGCTGCGAGCCGTACGGTAGGCGCCAGAGGCGTGATCCAAGTGGCTTTAGTAAGCGAGGCTTAGTGGGACCCGAATCGTCGGTGCTTTGTGTGGACAGAGCTGTGCTGGTGGCGGATTAGAAGGACAGGAGCACGGAGAGTGGACGCTCGACAAGTTACGGACGCGTGGCGAGTCGGAAGCGTAAGCGTAAGACTGAGTAGCGGTGTATTTCGGGAAAGAAAGCCCAGAGAAGAACCGTGGCAATATGTCGAGAGTTGAGAGGGTGAGTCAGGTGAGTGACAGCACGCCACCGAGAGCGAGTTCGCGGCTGCTAGTCACAACAGCCAGAGTCACAGGAGTTGAGGAGAGAGGTAAATAAAATAGGGACGAGAGTTCCGGCACCTTTGCGAGGGGCCTACAGAGTGTGTGAGTTTCATTGAGACGGGCTACCCTACAAACCGAACTACTGGTAGTCCACCGCAGGAAGCACAGACAATATACGATCCGCCAGCAACGCGGCGTAAGCGGGTTGTCACACATTCCTCGTAGTGTCCTGAGAAGTATTAATAGCAAATACCAGCTTCTCGACGATTTCGTCACAGTCTTGCTGTAAAGGGTCCTCCGCGTACACTCGTATGGAGCCCATCACCGACTTCACCGAGCGTTCCTGCTGTCCAGTAGCATGTGGCCGATAGCTCAACGTTGCTCGTGACCTTGACTGCATCATCCCCGCGAACGCTTGGAACACCTCGCTCATGAAGCGTGGGTCGCGGTCGTGCCTGATCAATGATGGGGCTCCGAGCCGTCGGTACACACATTCTTCGAACACTTAAGAAACACTCAGTGCCGGGGTATCCGACATAGCCTTGGCAATAACGAATCCCGTGAGCGAGCACTGAAATAGCAGCAACGCCGTGTTGCCCCTGCGAGATTTCGGTAGTGGGATCACAAAGTTCATCGAGACGATCTGGAACGGTCGTTCGGCTAGTACGTTGCCAGGCGAGTAACCACGAAGCCGCGGACGGCTTTTACTCAAGCTGCAATCCGGACATGACTTCACATGCTTCTCCACGTCAGCGTACAAGCCGATCCAATAATAATCGGACTTAACGCGTTGGAACGTTCTCACCACACCTTGATGTCCTCCTTCCAGCGAGTCGTGACAGTTTTGCAGGACCTCTTGAATCATCGTTGTTGGTACCACAAGCCGCAGCTTGGTCTCCTCTTGCCAACCGTGGTCGTACCGACGATTCAATCCAAGATAGTGAAGCACGCCGTCTTCTGATAACACGAACCGGTCAGCATACTTCCAGACATCTCGAGCTTCTTTGTAACTCAGCTCTTGTGCTTGGCCCTGAAGCACCTTCTTGATGTTAAACCACTTCTGTTCCTCGTCTTCTGCCACTACTATCTGCGTCGCTCCCGCTGTATCGCTACCGGGTCAACATCTTCCGCATCGGAAAATGCCGCTGGTACAGTCTTGTGAAGATGGTCTGGCAAATCCTGGCCGATTGAATCTTCGGTGGACGTCTCTCGTCATTCTTCATGCTCTTCTTGAGCTTTTGAGACATCCTCCGAGTGTTCATCTGCAAACCTGACGCGTTTCTTGGCTTTCGTCTGTCGCCGAGTCATCACTGCTATATTACCATAATCGCACTTTGGTGAGCTGTAATCAACCACGAAATTTTCGAAAGTTTTCCACTTTGAAGACTCGCTGCCTGACAGTACATGTACTTGACGCTCTGCTCCTTGTGGCGAAACATCTTTATCCGGCTCGTAGATCATTTCCTGGATGCGGTTCAGCGATGCCAATTCCGACTTGCGAGTTTCAGCCAAGATTACCCGACTGACCTTAGATTCCAGCGCTTCAGTGGCCAATGAATCCTCGGCGGCGTTGTATTCTCGTTCAACGTGAAGCTATTTCACTGATCGAAGCTTGGCCGCGCGTTCCTTGTGAGTATTCAGCAGCGCTAGCAGAGTTTTATGTCTGCATGCGATCACCCCTAGTGATTGTTGAATCGCGAGTCGTAAGTCACCAACGATGACTAAATCCTCGGCACCGTGCACAATAGCAGCCTTGACACCGTTTATAATACCTGTATACTCAGCCTCATTCACCGTGGTGGCCGAGAGGTAAGCGTTTGCATCAATCACTATCTTTCACTCAGGAAGGCCCCACAACACCCATGAACAACTCCCGTAGCCACCGTACTTCTCTGTCTTCGCTGATCCATCAAAA